CCTGTATGTGTATATATATATAGGTAAAGGTACTTTTCATCGCAAACATTATGTCGCATATTCGCGTCAACACTTTCCCCGCAAAGGGAATCCATTAATGTAATTTTATAGCTCCCTCTTGTTCATATTCGTTTCTCTGCTGCTTATATATATGCAATTTGTACAATAATATTATCATTATTAATAAAATAAATAATTTTAATATGTCTAGAAGTTGTGTAAAAAATAAAACGTCTATCGCGCGCTTCTGTAAGATTATCGACATATATCTCAAACATATATCTCAAGATAGCTTTATCGTAGACTCCATTATGTTACTGAAATTTAAATATTTGAAAACTTTCACGACTTTAACGAGCACCCTCCGCAATCTGGCATAAGGGCTCATCAGCGAAGCTGACGTAATATAGCTTGCAGCTGTAGTTATGCTAAACTTTCCAGGTGATATCCGCCGTTATTATCAACCCTCCCCAGCGGCGGAGCTGATGTACAATAGAACGTGTTACTTTAGAGCATTCTGGACCTAGCCGCTTCTTAATAGAGCTTAACTATTTTAATGAGAGACCGTACCAGCGATGGTTTCAAAGGTAGAATAGCCCACATTTTCGGCGATCTTGCTTCCTTTACGAGAATACTCAATTGGAGCAGGCAGTTCCACATGACTGTGTAGCGTCAAATTAAGACGGCATGCGAGATGGATAATACTTGACGAGGAGCTTTATGATCCTTTACTGGTTCTCGCTATATCTCTAGCATTCTCTATGTACATATATTTTATATATATATATATATATATATATATATATATATAATGCCTCCATGTGTAATATCGTCTTATTATATCGGATAATTAATACAGACAACACGTGGGAGAGAAAACGTAATAAAGAAAATCTTGTATAATGTAAACATCAACAATTGACTTAATTAAGGAGGAGACTACATTATTGAAATATTAACATATTATTTAAATTACATGTTTTCTCGTCGCTACGCTATAAAATGTATATAGCAAAAAAAATATAATTTGATTAGCGACGTAACAGCAAAGCCAACAAATTATCGTATGTATTACCACGAGAACAGAATTTAGTGGATAAGCAAAATTAGATTTCGCGTATCCACTAAAGTTGATGCTCCAACATGCTATCTCTAGAATCATAAGCATCAGCTTAATGGAGATGACTATAGACCGTATATTGCATTGCGTGCATGTATTATTAGAGAGCGCGAATGAAGGACATCCCACGTCGGATGAAAATCGAATCATGTAATTAGGCCTGATTCATTTGCCGCCCGTAACGTGCGCGCGTGCTAATTACACAAACGGGCCCTGGACACCGATATATTCACCTCGTTCTTTACCTTTCCTTTTCAAACACAAGACATTGTATCTAGCAAAAGGTGATCGCTAAGAAATCGTAGGCTAAAAAATAACAATACATCATATCCATCCATTCAAAGCTGGACGTGTTCCCTATTTTTCAATATTTCATCATGGCAGAGATAAATCGAATTACCGCGTTAACGCATTTAGCTTGTCGATCGTAGATTGGTACATGTACTATACGAACTCGTCATCATTGTCGAATGATGACGAGTAGAATTAGAAGCATAATTCGCGCGGATTATCTCTATTATTATGTATAAGTGAAACCTTGCTAAATTCTATTTTTATTGATGTGAAAAAAATTTTTTTTAAATATTACATAAAATTTAATAGTTTTTAAAAGTATTGTATTTCAAATATTTTTATACATTTTTATTGCAATATAATATCTTATTCGTTATCGGCTATTAATTCAAAAAGCTGATATTATCGATACAATGATTTTATCCAATTCGCTAAATGATGACGTTCACATTCACCTGAATATAAAATTCAGAATTGACTTTTTTTAATGCAATAAATCCTGCTTTCCAAAATTTAATTTCACATAAAATTTATTTTATGATTTTAATAGCCTAGAAATAAAACTTTTATAGACTTTTTATTTATAGAAATTAAGTAATATAAAGTCAGTTATATTTTCTGCAAGATAATAATAATAAAAATACATTTTAAAAAATTCTAAAAATAATTTCCATAATTCTGATTTTAGTGTGTATATATATTCAATCGTGAGAGATATATAAAATTATAATATTTAATATTATAATGTTAGTCACCGTTAAAATTATTAGAGCATGATATGTCAGTGATATATGTCGATTCATATATTCCATCCAATTTTACTTCCAATAGAATACTTTGGCATATTTAATCGTATATTTATTAGCAACCACGAGTTGCTGCAAATCCGTTACAGACCACTGATCGTGCGACAATGTTGCAATCATATCGGCATCGGAAGCACTCTGTTAAAATCTATTTTGATCGTGCTCGATGACTGCTACGCCAAATGCATGCGCATACAGATAAATCCACTCAGTCACGATTTTTTCGTGAAATATTGGATAATCTTGTTACCATTCGAAATAGGAAATAATCCACTTGGAAAAAGATTCGTAAATTTGTTTTCGAATGTAGACGTTTAACATTAACAAGAACAATATCGTAGTTTAAATTTGAAGATAAAATATAAAAAATGGAGATATATTTGAAATGTAATATTTACAAAAATCGACATCAAAAAATACTTTTAAAATTAAATTGCCACGTAAATCGAGATTTGTATAAACTTATATCAATAAAGTTCAATGTTTGTTTTTTTAATTAACTTCTCTTTCTCTCTCTCTCTCTCTCTCTCTCTCTCTCTCTATATATATATATATTATATATATATATATATATATATATATATATATATATATATAGACTTTAGCTATTGATTGTGTGTATATGTGTGTATATATATATTTTTTTTTTTAACTTTTTAAACATAAATTTAATATTCTTTTAAAATTTCCTATTTTAATTTTATATCGTTTTAGCTTGACGCATAAAAGAGTGATTTAAGCCAGATCAGCATTTATCAAGGCAACGCTGCAGCATAATGCATATTAAATGAATGCCTCATCGAAACTAACGCGATATCATATTATATGTCGAGGGCAATGGCTCGTTGTTTACTAAAATAACAATAAAAATCCACGATATTGATATTCGTCGACTAAATGTAACGTACCTTCTGTATTGTACCAATATTACCTTTTACGATGGCAAGTGAAAAAAATATTCGATATTCGGCACTTCCGTTATTTGCGCGCGTCGAAACATCGATATGTTAAATCGATATTCAACTTGAAACAACAATCCAATTCGAATAACAAGTGTTCCTTACCAATAGACTGTAAATCTGATATTTGAGAATTTTGAGAATATATTCATTCTACAGTTTCGTGCTTATCGTGTTACACAGTTTTATAATTTACAGTTAAATAAAAAATATGTACTTTAATTCAATATCGTAATATTAAAATTTCTGGTTAAAATTAGGAAACATTTGCTTGTAAATTAATAAATACATTAATTTAAAAATATATTTGTTTAAAATATTAAATTAAAATATATTTGTTTATAATATTAAATTAAAATATTTGCAAGAGCAAAAAAATATAATAAATATTTGTTTAAATCTATCTTTTAATAATTGTAACATTGCTGTCCTTATAAATCGATAACAGTATGACTCTATATTCCAATTAAATAGTTTGTGTGAAATATCATTTTAATTAATACAGAACTAAACATTCTTACATAAACAGATGTTTCATATGGATTTAAGAAAGTTTCTTTTATTATGTTAAACTTGCTGCCTGTTGAACAACGACAAATAATTATAAATTTTGGTGCAATTTACACAAATTTATACAAATTGCTCGCATTAGCACGCAACTTGAAGTTTATGTGTATAATCGCATTATAAATTATTAAATTTTTGATTATATATGTACAAATATACGTAAAAATAAATTTGATATTAATATGATATAATGCCCGTCAATGCAGAAAGTAGTTATTTATTTATTTATTATATTATTTATTACAGTTTTGATTATCTTTAAGGAAAACTAAAAGTTTCAATATGTATAAATCTTTATTGTTGCATTATCATTGTATACTTATGCAATGTAGTAACTTACTTCTTTTTTCCGTTATTAATATTATTTTCAAATTAGCGTTATTATTTATAATTATATCTTGATTAATTGAATCACATAACTTCATTCGATTTTTTTATTCGGAAATAATAATCGTGAAAGTATACGCTTGGACAGCTTTATGAAACTAATCTCTCTTCCTGACAGAGCATAGGTAATGTTAAAAACTTCAATTTAAACGATCAAGTAATTCCTGAGAGAAATATATAGTTATATAAATACGAATATACGCGCAGAATAGCTGCATTAATGCTGCATGTGCATTTATATATCTCTTTGTAGCCCCATACATAACTTTCCATCAATAATTACACGTCACTATAACAGCTCTCCTTCATTCCTTTTCTCTTTCTCTCTCTAATATATTGATGGTATAGCTGATCAAACGCGCATCCAATCTCATTACAGCGTCACAAGCGAATTACAAAGCCTGCCAAAAGAGAAAATTCATGGCGACATTTGAATCACGGAAAAAAGCGCCATACGGCAAATTGAATTACATCGCTTCATATATCTCCTTTGGAGAATTGCTCAAAAAAATTGAGCAAAAAAATTTTACTATGCAAATATCGAGAGATATCAAAATCTCATGACAAACGCTAGACTTGCGACGAATATCCAAAGATATTCTGATATATTTTAAATGCTTACTTATATTAGATTTTTTCCATATTGTTGCAAAATCTCTTTATCATGCAGAGGTTTGAATAGAAAGCTTTCCAAATTTTCTAATACATTATATTGTACATGTCGTATCAAAAAAAAAAAAAAATATATGCATATACACACTTTAAAATAAATATAAATTGAGAGGAAGAGATCTCATGCAAGATTATTTCTGTGACTAATAATAATTACATAGCCTTAATTTCAATGATTTACATATACATACTAACCTCATGAACAGATGCAGCGTTAATATTCGTCCTTCCTGAAACAATAAAACATTTAATTACTAATTAATTAATATTATTATAATCTCTCTCTCCCTCTCTCTCTCTCTTTCTCTTTTTCTCTCTCTCTCTCATTAATAAATACTCATTACAGAGTTTGTGAATAATTCATCTAAATATTTATTACTACAGACTGCTTATATATAACAATAATATATTTTTAATGTATTCAGAAGAACATAATATTCCTGCAAAATAAATAAGCGGCCATCAACAGAATTTAATGCATTTTCATTCAACGCCGATAATTGGCCGTCTATTAAATGAGGCCGTAAATTTAATTACGCGGTCAAGCTATGATGCGTCGCAACGAGGCGTAAAAGTGAGGAACATACTCTCGGCATAGGTCTCGCAGTTTTTCAGTGCATCCTGTATGACAGGCGACGTAGCTTCGTGTCGGAATTTATGTGGAGAACATGCATCCGCCTGAATTCATCGTATAAGGGCTTACTCGTGCGATATGTCACACCAACACGACCGCCGTGCGGACGTGTGAGCGCACGTCTGTGAAATCGTACGTGTGCGCGCATCGGTTTTGCATTTTTCAAGCCGATAATTTATCAATCTTGTCCACCCCGATTCCATCCCAAATCCCATTCTCTAGCTGGCAGAACGGTAAGGGTGAAGAGGAAGGGCCGGCCGGTCTACGATCGGTCGTTTCTGGCAGGAAAATAATGAGCCTCTTTAAAGACCGGAAGTTTTCATTCGGACGAGCTTGGAAAATCGATTTTTGCACTTTGTCGAACGTGTTATTCGCACCGTCATGCGTCAGGAGGCAGCCGCGCACGGATTTTATTCAGTGCATTAAATGTTGGTACATTGTTATCGAAATATCGAGAACAACATAATACTAACTCAACCGTACAATTTTATGAACTACTTATCAAATTTTTCAGTTAACTTAGCATTTTTTGTTTTAATCATAAATTTGATTGAAAAGCCAATTTAGTTGGATTCATATTTCAAATCTCATTTTTTATTATGACTAAATTAAAAAGCATTGATAAATTTTGTATTTTATTTCTATTTACAAAAAAAATTATTATATATATAATTTTCTATACAGTGTATTGATTATAAAAAATGTAAACATATACACATATACACATAATATTTTATCGTATATTCTGCCGTAAAGTAATTCAATAAAATGCCTATTGAAAGAGCTTTTATGAAAAGGAAAGTACATTCTTGTAACTGTTCTTGTGGTTTCTTTCAGCTTATTCAGCACAATAAGATAGCGATGGAAACGAAAGTTCATCGATAAGAAATAGCTGAATTACTCCGCCTATTGAGAAAAAAATACAATAAATTTTATAAATGTAACACTTATTTTCTACATTAATTCGAATTTACTTTTTCAATCAAATAAAATAATAACGTTAATGACTAAATACTATAAATATCTTTTTAATTTTTTTTAGACTTGATATATTAAATATTGCGACAAGCAAAAAAAAATATATGAAAAAGACACAATTTATAAAAATACAATATTAAATATAAAATTACATTCAGGTTCTCTTTTACCTGTCTCATTTAGCATAATTTATTTATCTTACCACAAAGAGATGAGTCATCGCTCATCGTTAATTTTATAGACTCTCCATCGTAAAAAGCTGAGTGAGCTTTCACGAATCATTATTTAACTTCGCTTTTGGCTTATTCAGCGCAAGAGAAACGAAAGAGGAAGCGAATGTCTTTTTTAAACGAATAAGAACAGGAGAACATCGGCTTTGTGAGGATATAATTCGAACGTACATTTGCACATAATTTTTAAAACATGTTTGTAATAAATTGACAAGAGTGTCATTAAATATAATACCAAAAATATAAAAAAAATTTAGAATACATATAGAAAAGTCAAGAAGCACGATTTGACTCATCTTGATAAAATTGTAAAAAAACTATTATATTAATATTATTAAAATACATCACAATCTATTTAAATATTCGAAATGCTATTGTTTTCTGTTACTTCTAATAGAAATTTATTATGTTATTTATAAAAAAAGTAATTAGCATTTTGTTATCATTTGTTTTATATAAAACTTTACTTTGAAATTATTGTTATGTCTAAAATAAAATTTATTAACTTTTGCATAACGGAAAAAATTAGTTTGAACATAAGTTTGAATGAATAATATTGGATACAGAACAGAAAGTTGTTATTATTTTTTTTTAATTCAAAGACACAATTCTCTTCGCATTATATTTCAGAGAGATCAATTTACACAACTTTTTTCATTTTTAACTTTTAAATCGTCTGAAATTTTTTTCAAAAAATATATAATACTTTCTAAATTTATAAATTAATCTCGAATATAAATATATATTCTTTATTTTATTTAGTTTATTAATATTAATCTATTTTATACAACCGATATACCGCTTTTTCCGCATCTTTTAATCGTATAAAATATAACACGAATATCGATAACCTATGCATTGGGCGCGTCATGTTCTGAATTCAATAAGGAAAATTCGCCCCACTCGTGGAATCGAAAATTATATACGTTCTCATATATGTCTCGAGAGTTTCTCTGGATATTCTCAATTGCTTTTACGAAACTTTAAAGAGATATGCAAGTTTGAACAGTTTTTCATAGTTAGGAGATCGCGGCTGTGTATGTCAGACTTTCAAGTAGCAGAGAAGCGGATATAACCGGACGCATACAAAGCAGTGGTATAAGCACATACATTCAGCCAACACTGCGTTTCCCAATAGACGGCTGACCGCACGATAAGGTTTAATCTTAGAATCCAGTTTTATCGTGGCATAAAAGTTCTCTAAAAATTTCATCTTCCAGCAAATAGCACATATTTTGAGAAAATCGATTGTGCATAAGAAATAACGCACGAATAATATGAAAATATCTCGAAAAAATTTCTGCTAAATGTGAAAATTCTACCATGATAAAGACAATCCAAATCTATAAATTGATAGAAACAAAATAATAAAATACGATGGATAACTCAAATAAAACCAATTTGTTATAATGACAAATCGAACTCTCACATATCAATGTATTCGCGCAGGTTTGATAGAGAAGAAACTTCTATCATTAAATTATTGCAGCGTATTTCGTCCGGAAATTAAACTTTCAATGGGCTTCGACCAGTGAGTGCATACGAGAATTTCTCTCTGACGTCAACGAAGCGAATTTTAACTAATAAAGACATAATCGTTATACGACGTCGCTAATGAATCGCTCAGTACGAAATCACCATGTCCGCTGAGGCACAGAATTCATCGAGAACTTTTTCAACTTCGAACTTAATTCGAAGAGAAAGGTGCGATAAGAAATTTTATTCAGAAACTGATGAGCTATTTCGTGCAGATTTTTCTTTCGACGCATTTAACTCGATCGAGAAACGAGAAAAATGCTCGAATCGAAGGAACAAATTCCAATAATTTATTTCGATGAAGAAAGCAATTAGCAAAATACAATTAGCAAAACGCAATTAGCGCATCGTTTACATTCATTTAACTTTACTGTTCTTGTGCGCTATATATTATTTGTAACGTTTTGACACGCCGTGTAGATACATATAAAATTGATTAAATAATGTATAAATTGATAATTTTGTATTCACAATGAATATAGCAGAGACAAATAAAAACAAAAAATTTAATAAACAATTTAATATTTATTATTATTGTAATAATGAAAATATGATGAAGCATTATTATATTTTTAATAAATATTTATTAAAAAATACTGCATCAATGTAAATTTGTTTAATTGTTTATTTTTACGATCACATTGCATATACATTATTAATTTATTTGTAAATTAATAAATTTATTTACAAATTTAAAAATAAATTAAGGTATACGTAATCTGATCATAAAAATAAATAATTAAATGGACTTACATCGATGCAGCATTTCCTAAATGAGAATAAAAATTTGGCATTAAAAAGATGTGAGGTATTATTTATAATTTAAGGATAATTTAAGGACGATAAAACAAAACGACGGGAGCCAAATGCGATTCAGAAAGAATGAGGTCAGAAAAACTTGCAATAGAGAAGACAAACTACAGCTCAGAAAGTTGCGGAAGTTCTAAAACTTTGCAGAAATAGATGCATGACCAATGTCTAGCAATGTTACTAGGACGAGTTGTATTGCGCCAAGAACCAAGACAAGTTGTATGAGACAGAAGTTACTATACCCAGGAGGAGTAGGGCACATTAGGATCAAAATCACAAATACTCGAGCACGTGACTCGCTTGCGAAACTTTCGATCATTCCGGACGCCAAAACTTGCTGCCAATAAAAATATATCATTCGCTATCGTACTTCATCGACATCTCGGCAAGAAAAAAAAGGGAAACGCGATACACAAGGCGATGAGAAATGCTTTCAACGTGACCGGACGCGAAACAATTGCTATTTTGCAATCGCGTAATTGTTGCCATATATTCTATTCACATCTCGGGTATATTTTTCGTTTCCTATCTTTCCTTCTATTCCGGACAAACCAAGTTAGTTCCACTGCCAATAGTAGTTTCAATCCTAACGTCTTCGCGCTTTCATCAGACGGGCTTTCATACGATGTAAATCGCTTTTTGTCCGTAAGTTAGAGAATGCAAAGGAGAAATCACTCGTGATCTTCTGAAAGAACTCGCGCGTCGACGTAGGATGAAGGTGCACAATGAAATCCGGGCCTTTGTTGCAACGATGATAATAATATTTGCTCGAGCATAATTCGTGAAACATATTCAAGACTTTGTTTAAAAGACGAAGATATCGCAACGTCGCAGGATTTTCTTTGAAGGCATCGCGAATCGTTGGAAAAAAATGTAACGCTCAACGAATGTGACATCAGTATCATTCTAAAAGTTTTCCGATGTTGCAATAAAAATATCTCTCTTTCTTTCTGTCTAATTCATATTCAACTCTGAGATTATTATCGATAATGCAATTTTTGTATTTTAGATATACAGATATAATTAGAGATGTTATAAAATT